TACTGTGTAAAGGGACAGTTCACACAAAAATGAAAATTATTTACTCACCCTTATGTTGTTCAAAACCTGTATGAATTTCTTACTTCTGCTGAACACAGATGAAGATATTTTGAAAAATGTTGATTACCAAACAGTTGACTGTAGTCATCAACTTCCATAGTTAGAAAGAGAAAATTATCAATAGAAAAGTCAATAGCCACCTTTTACTGTTTGATTACCAGTATTTTTCAAAATATCTTATGTGTTCAGCTGAATAAAGACACTCATAAAGGTTTGGAACAACGTGTGGGAGAGTACATAATATGAGAATTTTCATTTTTGGGTAAACCATTCTTTTGAGTAATTACAACACTAGGACACATGTTTGTCATGTGGAGACAAACGGGCATACAAAACACTCACAGTTTCCTTAAAAGCAGCACTAACAGTTGCTCTGTGCACACTGAATATATGGGCAATGTGCTGAATGGGCAAATCCAAAGAACCATCTGAAAAGGTGTCAGTTTTTTTTTATTTTATCCTGAGACAGAAATGGCACGATGTGGCACAACAAAACCTGAAAAATGGCATAGCTCGGAAGACCGGTGTAATATTTGACTTTAACATTGTCATCTTTAAAAAAAAAAATCCTCTGTGATTTTGTGTTTATCAAGTTCTTGCTTCAGCGGTCTGTTTTCATTTAGTAGGCGAGTTATTTCATCTTCACTTTCAGTTGTACCTCTTGATTTTCTTGTGCCTTCTCCACTGCTTCACTCTGCACCCTGTCCTCCACTTTCTCTTCTGTCTGAACTTTTGACCTCTCTTGTCTGCTTAACTGACGTGTAAACCTGTTTTGGTCTATCACTTTCACTTCATTATGGCCCAAAAGCAAAGATGGTGCCCAGTCAGTCAATGCTTGGGTGTCAAGCATTTGATACGCTAGCTGTCCTATAAACATAGCACTTCCGTCACTATACAAGATGATGGAACGATTTACAGTATTTCAACAGCATGTCATGCTGACAGAAGACATTTATGAAAATAAACCATGGCTTTACTACAAAAACCGTAGTTTTACTATGATATTTGTGTGGTTACGCAAATGGTAATCAATGCGCAAAAAAAAAAGAAAATCAGTTTTACTATAATAAAACCATGGTTAATTTTCATAATGGAAACTGCATTAAATCAGCATGTTGTGGTTTAAATTTGCCTGTTTTTTCCCACAGATTTCCCCCATTAGTTACACTCTCACACACAAACGCCCAGTTTCACAGGCTTAAGGGTAGTCCCAGACTAAATCGCATGTTTGAGCTGTGAACTAAAAACAACTTGCACTGACATATCTTAAAATAAGCCATTGTTTTGTCTCAAGATGCACACCAGTAATGTGTTTTTCTATGCATTTTTTTTTTTTTAACCGCTTAAATACTCTAATTTAACTAAACACTTTTCAAAAAAGGTTGCCCCGTGTATCATCACCTTAAGGCCCAGTCCTGGCTTAAGCTAAGCCCTGTCTGTGAAACCGGGCCAAAAAGTTTATACTTCACGTGCCGTCATAACACCTGGTTTTTGAGCAAATTTCAAAACACACTGCACACCATGGGACTCGCCTGGCAGACAGCTCCGGGGGGTGAATAAAGGCCTCCTGTAGAGAATGCATGCGTTTTTGTAAGAAAAATATCCATATTTCAAACTTACTTCCGCTGCTTTCCGGAAGTAATCTTGAATACCTTAGCTGATCCATGAACATGATTTCTGGCCGAGTCCCGTCGGATTGCTTCAGCTGTGGGGATGAAGACCACAACTCCCATGATTCCACACTCAGTCACGGCGTCATCAAACTACGCCTTTGTTTCTTTGATTGTTTTGAATATGCGCCCTCTAGCGGCAATAAATTACATATTGTGCCTTTAAAATAATGGGCAAAAAGTAACATTTTGGATTCAAAGACTAAATAAAATACCATAGTCAATGTTCCATAAATAACAGTTGACACCCATGTTAAAATTGAAGCCATGCTGAAGCCTCTGTCTGGTTACTCCTTCACCAATGGCAGCATCCCCTGAATGTAACAGCAGTTTACAGCAAGTCCATAAAAAAAGACATTGCCATTAAAAAACAGCTAGGAATGCCACTGAATAAATGTATTTATACTTGATTAATAGCACCTTGGAGTCTGCACTTCACGGGGCTTGCCCATCCTATGCCGTTTTGTTTGTAGAATGCAACAAGTTCTCTGTCTTGATCTTCCTTGTCCATTCTCACATCCATGGTCATCAAGAGGGGCTTTCTCATCTCATGCTGGCAAATTATTTCTATTTTTATCTGGTTCAGTTTTCCAATCTGCAAAAAAACTGAAGCAACATGTCAACAGTTCAGCTGAAGCTAATTGTGTATTCTACGTCAGTTTTACATCTCAGAAATCTATTATGCTTCTCAGTTCCCAAACTTTTACGGGAAAAAAAATGACCATAACTCATGCTTGTGGCTTGAGCTGCATTTAAAGGCACAGAAACTCCAGAAGTAGATGGTTCTTCCATAGACACATTGAATTCCAGAGGTTGCATGCTTACAATAAAATACACAAACTTCATTACCATACTTGCACGCAATGAAGGAACAAAATTCCTTTATGAATGGATGACCTCAAAAGTTGTAAATGAATTGAACATTCATAATTTTAACATAAAACACAATATTCAATTCACAATTGTATAGTGAAGAAGGCCTGCGGCAATCCTAACAGCACACATAATGAAAGTACAGAAAACAACAATAAAAAATAAAATAACTGAATTGACTGGAAACATGTCTTTTGTGCACTATCAAAAAACAACAAGATATTCTGAAACTTGATCATTAGATATGAAAAGATATTTAAATTAACATTAAATAAATCGTGCAATTATGATTTTGACATTAGCCATCAAGGAGCTTCAGGTATTTATGTAGCTATCTATCTAGGAATATATGAAGCCTCCCCCCACACCAACCCCCCCACCCAAAAAAAAAAAAAC